CCTGAGGCTCAACATAGTTCCCACTGAAGACCTTTTCTTGTCATAGTTGAGTCTGTTTAGGGCACCAGCTCTCCAGTGCAAAGCTGAAGAGAGATAAATGCTTTGTCTTTCATGAAAACAAAACAACAAACAAAACCACTTCTCTTTAAATCACTCTGTTTTTAAAAATTGTGTGAATTCTGGTGAGAACCAGCAGACTACTTGGGTAAACTGCGCTCTAGGGGACCCCAAAACAGAGAATCAGGAAGATGTGGTAAAGGGGGCAGTGGTGAGCAGAACCCTTGCCTGTGTGAACTCCAAGAGACCCAAGCCAATGGTGGTGTTGGCAGGCTGACCCCCTGAGGAAGTCCCCAGGCAGGGACCCACCTTGCTAGACACTCTGCTCACTCTGCCTGCTGTCCAGGAGACATAGGTATCTGGTCCCCTGCACCACTACTGTGTGTATGCATGTACATGCTGAAGGGCACTGCCCTCTAAGTGGGTGACCAGCACTGTCCACACTTTTCCTGGCTGAAAGGCAGTAGCACTGTGGGTGGCCTCACCACTGCCTATGTGGCCCGGCAATAAAGAAGGGATGCGTAGACAAGAAGGCTCTGGAGAGCTAATCCTGGAGCAACATATGTCATCTTTGGTGGCTTCTGGGTAGCCTGTCAGCTGGTACTTCTTCCCAGCAGCCCCAAGAGCTGGGCTGTCCCAAGTTCCCACTTACTCCTCACAGTGAAAAAAATAAGAGAAGTGAAGGACTAGGAGAGAAGAACATGGGGACATAGCCCTTATTTTCTTCTTTGAAGCAAATAGGAAGCTGTCTGTTTTTTGCTCATCCCATTTCTAGTTAAAACTCAGACTGCTAATGGGCCTGGACAGGAAGGAGAGGCCCTACGAGAGAGTGGGCATGGAGTCCTGGCTATCCATTAGCCAGGTGCGGTCAACATCTCTGCACTGAGGACACAGTGAAGCCAGACCAAGCCAAGAGGGTTAGTGTTTCTGAGAGAGGCTGATGACCAGTGTCCATGGGACTTTTAAAATATTAAGAGCAACTACTTAGGGACCAGCATGCTCTTTCAAGTGGTGAAGTGGTAGATAAGGCTGAGTCTTTTCAGGGACTGAGGTATCTCGCCAGAGAAATGCATTGAGCATATCCTGGGCTCCTGAGGATTCAGTGGAGAAATTGGGGTAGATAGAGAAGCAAAGGCAAGGGCTTCCTGATGTCATTAAGCTACAAAATGCAGGCTGCCACCTGTATTGACCATGTGCTAGAGGACAGTGCTTTGGACATCACGACAAGCTAAGTTCTTTTTTTTTTTTTTTAATTTTACTGAGAAATAAATATGAATGAGACAGTTTCACAGCCGATTAATAGGACAGTTTCGATAATCAATACATTGTATGTTGTTATCTTCTTAGTGGTTATCTATAGTACAAGAAGCAAACAAGATATCCTGTCCAAACACTATTAGTACACCTCTTTCTTCTAATTGAATTAAGCGAAAGTAGCTATATATCTATCCTATTTTGTATATATAAATACAAAATGATCTTTCCTTTGTATCCCGCTTTTTTTGTTTAGTCCTGTCAGAGGTGAATATTCTATTGGCATCTAAATACTAAGGTGTTTGAATTCAGCTAAACAATCCAACACTGTCTAGCAGTCTAAAATATTAGTGGGTTATCCTCAGAAGTTATTGACTTGAGCCTTTTACAGATCGTAGTATTAATATGGATTTACTTTATATACCTCATTTTTATACTTTTCTGCTGGATGGTTAAGACCAAGATAAAGCAAGACCTATATAACAAGAAATGTAACTTTTGTATCTGATAAGGTCAGTCAAGTACCCTCAGGATTTATCCTGTAGCCCTGTACTGCACTTTGTAGATCCTTTACATGACAGGCTAAGTTCTAACACTCAATAACCAGAAAAAAAAAAAAAATCTTAAGCTCTTAAGCAACAAGCACTGACTATAAATCCAGGTACTAGCCACTGTGTAGCTCCTCTGCCAGTCTACCTCTTCTCTGAGCCCAGTGGCATCAAGGGAGATGGTCAGTGCCCCAGGTTCACCCTAGTACTCTTGTTGCTCCCTAGGGAGGTGAAGGGGACACACTAGGTAGGAAGTATCAGGCAGTAAAGTCAGCTCAAGTGCACCTCATTGTTACTTTTTGTTAGCTAAAGAAGCAACCTAATGGCTGTCCTTAAACTCAGCAAAACCCAAATGGCTAAATCAATAGCTTCTTGATCTTTGCTGAATAGTTTTAAGAGGGGACCATCACAACACTGATACTTTTGTGTCCAAAATGACATTGATTTGATCTGGCTTCCCTCTTGCTTCTGTGGATTATTGAATGCTGCTCCTGAGCCAGCCCAGCAGAGGTGGGAAGCCAGCCCAGGGGAGATAGGAAGCTTGTCTGTGACCTCCTCTGCTTGGCAGCTCACTCTCCCATCCACCTCCCGTCCTTGACCACTCACTGGTGTCCCCAGCTTTTAAGGCCACACAATGCTTATCCCTGGGGTCCTGCCATTAGTTTGAGGACCCATATTCCACCAATTTCTTGCCAAGAACCTATGCATGTCCTTGTGAACAAGCTACATGAGCCTTTATGAACCCTCAGGAGGGCTGAAAATTGGCATTATCCTCACTTTGTGGGTGGCAAAACCAAGACAAGTTCCATACCTGCCCGGACTCACATGGATAACAAATACTACCAGTGTGGATATCAAGCCTCCTGGGTCTTTCACCACCCACACCACATACATCCTTAAGCTCAAGTGTTGAGACAGACAAGAAGACAGTTTTGGTCAGGAGGAACTTAGCAAACGTTTATGAAAGCATTTGCAAGCTGTGAAGCTTGCTGCAGTCTTGTGTCACACAGCTTTCTGCCCCTCGCCCACAGATACACTCGCCCATCCATCCGGTTCAAACAAACAGTCACCTACCTGTGCAGGGTGAGAGCATCTGCTGGATGAGCAACAAGAATGTGCATCCCCACCCCATAAATCTAATTAACCACCTCGGCTTGTTGGTTCTCCTGCACCTCAGATCAATCTCACCTCTGCTTTGTAGCCCGTCAGCTCCTGTGCACACCACTGCCGCAGCTGGGGCCTGGTCTCACTGCAGCAACTCTGTCCCTGACCCTGACTCTGTCTCTGTCTCTGTCTCTAGCCATGTCTCCCCATGGCTATCCTCCTTGGGGCTAGAGCCATGATGTTACTCTGGGGCTCAAAGACTCAGTGGTCCCCATGGCTACTGGCTTCAACACACCTTCTTCTACTTCAATTACAAGCTTGTGCTCCTGCCACACTCCCTGCACCCAGCCAATCTAGGACAAAACTTTTGGTGTTCCTCTTGGCCAGGATACTCCTGTTTTCAGCTTAGTTTGGGGGGCCTTCTCTTGCCCAAAATGGGGCCATATCTGGCTTGCATGGCCACCCTGGCCCTGGGAGTCTCAGTCAGTGCTGAGTTGTGATCTTAGGTCCTGTCCTACAGTCCCCATTAGATTCCTGTGCAGCAGGGCCATGATGTGAGTCACCCCCAGTTGTACTCTTGGTGCCTGGCATAAGGGAACACTCACTAGGCCTCTGAGTGACTAGATATTTGTCTGTGCCAGCACAGTCCAGCAGCCTCCTTGCCTGCTTTCCTTTACCAGGCATTCTCCCACATCACACAAGATTGGGGCAGCAGAAAAGGATCCCCCATAAACACCTTGGCCACTCCCTCCCATGGGTGATAACCAAAAACCCATCCCAGAAGGCTCTAGCCTTGCCATTAGAAGACTCAAGGAAAACAGGCCCTCTTGTCCAGTCAACCTTCAGGAACAGAGTGGTCAATGCATCCCACTGAATCACTGGCAGATAGCACACTGACCCAGTGGACTCCCCAGCAGGTGCCCAGGGGCAGAAGCAAGACCGAGCAAAGACAAAATGCTTATGATCTGGGTGCTCTTCAACATCTAATGGTGGTTGCACCACTCCAGGCATGACGTACTCCTGACCATACCCACAAAGTCCCTCTCAGTACATCTGGATCTCAGAGGACCACTCCAGCTGGACCTTGAAGAGGTCACCCAGACTAAGCAGTCTCACAAGCTTTAAGACATAGCCTCTGCAGGATGGGGTCCCACAGGTTGAGGCTGTGGCATGATTCCCTGTCAACCTGGCTACTCGTATGGGGAAAGAGGCCACCATTCAGGTTGAGAACTACACCACCTTCGACTGTCTTCAGATCCTTGGGCACATTCATTCCTCATCCCTGCCTCCACTCAGGGACAGAGGCAGAGCAGTGACCAAGGGCAAGGAGAACTAGAAGCCTTCCTCATCTGCAGCTGTGACTTGTGGGAGTGACTAAGACAGCCAGATCCCACCCAAGTCTTCTAATACCATGAGGTGGCAAGGCAGGGACCCAGGCAGTCAAGAGGGCCTTCTTTGTCACAATCATCCTCTAACATGTCTCCAGGCTTCCCTACAGGCTGTTTCAGAGCCCCCTGGAAGGTGGCTCTTGCTGATACCATGCAGACCCTGCACTTCTGGGACAGACATCAGGCTCATAGGAGCACCAGAAATATTAGGACTGGGGAAGAGATTACTTTGTGTGACAACCCTGCCCCTGCAGGAAGCCATTCACGTAGTCCTCCCCTACTCTACCACACAGGACCTGGGCACCTACTGGGCAGCAGCCATTGAGATGGGCCAAGGCCTCTCATGTGGCCCACTTAAGATTGACCCCAATCAAGTCTGTATCAGGTCAGGAGACAGAAGCAGGGGGTCAACATGCCCGAGGCTCCTACTCAGGCATGAGACTGAGACACCCAACTCCACCCCAGCAGATCTCTCACCAGAGTCCTGAGAAGGAAACAAAGTCCCTGATCTAGGGAAATATCTAGGACAAAGGCGAAGTCCAGGGCCTGACCCCCACCCCCACCTGCCCTGGGGTCCTCATGACAACTACTGCATGAAATAGATCATCACAATAGTGGGGTGAACAAACATCACTCAAAGACTGCTTGCTTGTGCTTTTGACACATTATCCATTTTTATTTAAAAACATGCTAAAAACATGGTGTTCAATAAAGCCAGGACTGGGATGAGAGGGTGTACAGACAGGCGTCTCAAGCAGAAAGTGCATCGGAAACCAGCAAGCGTGCACTCCCAACTCCCCCACACTGCCCTAGGGCAGGCAAGTGGGTGTTCAGGGCATGGGTAAGGCCCAGAGGGGCAGGGAGGCCAGGATACACCCTAGACTGTGGCTTCACTGTGGCAAAGGGGAAGATGAGGGAACAGGGACACCAGAGGAGCCACCAGATGCTGAAGGGCTGACAGGCCAAGAACAAGCCCCAAGCAGCCAGCACCCAGCTCCCAACCTGTGCTATGTCCCTGCTACAATTAGCACCTCCACCAGAGGGTGGGCAGGGGGCCAGAGAAGAGAGGACAATCATTTCCAGGCACCTGGACTGCTTTATGGCCACCTAGGTCCGTATCAAACCAGAACCATGCATGGGGCCTATTATATGGTCAGCAACCTCTCCAGGGTGAGGACCCGAGGTGCAGGCAAACCCAGGCTGCCTGTGTGACTGGTGGCTGCCACCTGTTGCTAGCTACTCCAGGTCAGTCTTTAACCCTGGCCCCTCAGCCCTCCACAAGACACCACAGAGAAAGGCTGAGTCTATGTCAGGAATTCGCTGAGTCTATGTCAGGAATTCCCTGGAAGTCACCTACAAATCCAAAGGGACTTTTCAAGTCAAGTCTATTAACCAATTACATCAGCCCTGATGAACCTAACTCTGACCTTGAACCGGGGAGCGGGGAGTGAGGGCATCACTTGAATTCGGCCCCAGCGAGGCCATGGTCAGAAGAAACTGAAGATGATGAGCCACGTCCTCTAGCATCACTATGTGTGGCCTTCCAGGTGGCCTGGGATTGGCAGGGGCCCATGAGAACACCCACCCTGTGCATGGAGACTGCCCCATGCAGCCTCAGCCAAACAACTCAACAGCTACACTCATCGGGGAAGCTTGCAGACAAGGGTCTGGGATGGATGGATGAGGCAGGGCAAAGGATGGCTCTGGCAAAGGCTTCAGAAACCTAAGATGCGAGGGAGTCTATATGCCTCCAATGCTTCTGCTGCTATTAACAAAACTTAAAAGTTGCACTGGTAGGCATACACAAACACACCCACCCACAGCAAAAACTTCACACACCAGTCCCACATGACACCAACACATCTGCCAAATGTTTGCAATGATGGGTTCACCCTGCCTTCTTGTTCTGGGGTCCCAAACGAGGCAGCTATCGCTCCTTACCAGGAAAATACCAGAGTTCAGGGAAAGGTGACTTCATTCCAATGTGCACTTACCTCACTCTGCCTTCTCAGCGTTTCCACCCTCATCAGTCCTGCCTCTGCCCAACCTGCTGAGACCAACCTCCACTTCAATTCCTGACACCAAAACCGGAGTCCCAAAACACCCTGACCCCAACTTATGTGTGGTGGAGGACTGGGGATGGCAGGTGGGGTCTCAGCCCCAAGGAGAGGCAGGCAGGGGAGGCTCAAGCAGACCTATTCTGGTGGGCAAAGGCAGTTATCCAGGGAAGACCCAATCCCCACGTGGTGGTGCAGCCCTTCCAAGCTTAGCCCCACTGATTCTGACGGGGTGTCCTGCTGTACCTCAACCACTTCCCCCACTGTTCACACCTACACTGCTTTCTCCCCAGAAATGCTGTGAGAGGTTGGCCTGGCCTGGTGGGTTTTCTGTACTTTGTGAGATCACACAGAATATGGCAGCCACTCAAACCTCTGCTGAAGGTAGCGGGCACTGGGAAGGAGATTTGGGCAGGGCAGTCAGCAGCCCTGAGAACCTGGCCACTTCTGCCATTCCCTCCTGAGGCTTCTGGGTCCCCTGCTGCCATCCAAGTGGCCAGACATGAGGACTGGTTCCATGTCCCACAGCAAGGTGAAGATGGATCCAGGCCAGAACTGGAGGTGTCCATCTGAGGGTCTATAGCAGGAATGTCTGGAAGTCATGGGGCTCATGGTTACTTGCTCAGAGATAGCACCCAGCAGGAGGCTGTGATGCCTTACAATGCCAGCAGAGGGTGGCAGGAAGCAGAAGACACCATATCCTGCTCACTGTTAAAAAGGCAAGGACCCTGCCAACTCACATCAAGCTCCTAGCAAAGTATTTCACCAGTCCTCTGAACCCACACTCCCCACGCACTGTGCTGGGTTCTCTGCTGTTACCCTCCTACAGGGTGCCCTGCCACAGTACCTTACACTATTCTGTCCTTTGTGGGTGCTAGGCCTGGCGGGGGGCCCCATCCCAGATGCACCAGCCCCTTCTCATGTGCTCCAAAAGGCCTGGTGTATCTCACCCTACAGCCACTCAAGCCACACAGGTGTGTCCTGAAACAAAGTAGATGGACGATGTCCTCTTCCCCACCCATCCCTACCCACAGGAAGGGAAACTCACACCATTAAGGAAATCAACAGAGTAAAAAGTTATAAATCAGAAAACTACCCTAAACTTATCTGAGAGATAATATTCCTGAATAATCGTAATCAGAGTAAAATAAAAAAGTTACATTGTCAGGTATAAAAAGCCTGGGCACAACGCTCAGGGCCTTGCTTGGCAGGGGGTAGACCCCATTGGGTGGACGCACATGGCGGCAGTAGCCTGTGTGGGAGATAACGCTGCCTGGGGAAGCACCCTACTCCCTACCCACTTGGGGACATATCAGTGTGAGGAAGGGCAGGGTGGAAACCCATCAGTGCTAGGCCTCCTCCTCAACACTCCCAACCCACCCCATAGTCTTTGGCAAATTCGCAGATGCAGGAATCCAGTGCCCAGCGTCCCCGCAGTCTCTGCTTGTGCCTCCTCCCCAGCCCTCTGCCTCTGAGAACCCACACTGAGGTGGGCGGCAGGAGGGGAGGTGGATGACAAAAGGGGAGGTGGGTAAGGGTGGCTGCTGGGAGGGTGCAGGCAGGAGACACTGAACTCAGCCCTCTTCCCTCCAGTGTCCAACAGGCGGGGTCTCCACCAGCCTGCTCACGCGTCATATTTCTTCCCCGTCCGGTGGATGTGCTGGAACAGGGTCATGGAGAAGGCCATGCCCAGGATCTGAAAGACAAGGAGGAGGGTCTTATGTGGCTCCTCTGGCAGCTTAGATCCTTCCTCAGCCTCTTGTCTTGGCTGCCATCCTGGTACGAGTGGTACAGACTTGGGTATGGGAAAGCACAACAGACAGAAGGAGATGATGCACTCAGGTCATGCACAGGCAGAGCTGTATACCCGAAAGAGCAAGTTCCCTCACCGCAGCTCCCTGGCTGCAGAGGTCCAGTGTGAGGAACCTGCTCCAGGAGGGCTTGGTGGGAGGAGGCAGGGATCATGGGAAATCAAGCGAAGTTGTTCCTGTTCATTTCTAGCACACTTGTTTTCAGATATGTGTTCTGGACATATAGCATATGCCTAGGACAATACTGGTGCTTGTTCCTGCTCTTTAACCTGAACTCTGAAAAGGATCTAGAGACATGCTGTAGGCTGAGTGAGACTAGCCATGGCCTCCCATTATCACACTGAGTGTGCCCCATGCTCAAGCTGTCCAGCAGTGAGCAGGGAGGTGGCACATGCCTTCTCAGGCATCCTGGAGAGTAATGGAAAGGCACTCAGTGGCACCTGCACCTACCAGTCCCCATCCTGTTTGTGGGGCACGATCTCATGCTAGAGCCGTGGTGTGACAGCAGCCTTGGCTGCTAGGCCTGAAAGTTCTACATGGGTCCCAGACACCCCAGCAGGCATGGACAGGCTGGGGTGCCTCTCCACATTCTCCCTGCTCCTCTGGCTCTCCTTGAGACGCTCCTCCATACCTGCATGATGAGGATACACATTCCCACTGTGCCGAGCACATGCTTATTCTCATCAAACCACATCTTCACCTTCTCATAGCAGCCCTGCAGAGTGAAGCATAGCATAACCGTGACTCCTCCAGCCTCTGCTGACCTTCATCCTGCTCCTCCTTGCAGGCAGGCTATCCCAGAGTTCACACACAAGGCCAGCTATATAGACACAGACCCCACAGTCCCTTCCTGGCTCTTCCAATTGTGGGTCCAGTGTGCACTCAGACTCACACAAGCATACACGTACATACATGCACACATGTATGTATATCCCAACCTTTTGGATTCAGTCCCCTCCCCCTCTCCTCCGTAGTGAGCCACAGCTTGCCAGCTCTCCTCTGGCCAGGGTGACACATACAGACCCCAGGGAGCAGCATCCAGCCTCACCGTTTTCCACACAGTGGTGGTATTGTTCCGCCCACAGCCCTGGGAGTTCTCCATGCAGCAACGGTCAGGCACTGTGTTCTCCCCCAGCACCGGGTACCAGTCTCTAAAGTCAGTGACCCCACAGCATCGCATCTGTCAGGCAAGATGGAAAGGCTTGGTCAGTCTCTCCGTGGCTCCCAGGCCTCCCCGCAGAGGCCAAGCCCAGCCACTGAAGCATCCACCTTGGAGCTCAGACAGGAGACAAGGGCTTCTTCTTGCCCCCTCTTTGGGAGATGAATGACGGCTTCTTCATCAGGACCAAGGGGAAAGAGCAATGTGCCACCCTCAGACTGTTGCCAGTACCAGGCAGCTTGGCATCCCAAGTGGCTGCCAGATACACTGTCTGCTGCCTTCTGACAGCAGGTCTAGGAGTACCAAGCTACTCTCCTCACCCTGCAGCTCCCTCCACCAGCTACTCCAACATCTAGTCTCACTAGCCTCCTGTCATCAACTTGTCCCTCTCCCGTGAACACCCCTGGGACTGGTCCCCACTCTTGGTTAAAATCCCAGAGGCCCGGTAACTCACCTCAGCCTGGATAATGTTCCAGGCATTCTTGAGCCCCACGTTGTTTTCGGTGTTATAGAGAAGCAGCCCTTCCTTCAGGTCCTGCTTGGCGTTCTCATTCACCTGGACGGGTGGGTTCAGCATTGCAAGTCTCTGGGCCCACAGTATGGCTTCCTCCCATCCCCAACCCTGGCCAATAGTGAGGACTGTGGCAGGAACACCTCCCAACAGCACAATGGATCACTGGGCCCAAGGCAGGGAAGGGTGAGGCGCATGGCTTCTCGCCGTAGTTTGTACTGACTATCTGCTATCTATGGCACAACTACACTCTTAGGGCCAGAGCTATAGTCCAACCAGGCAGAAGAGACAGATCGCCTCCTGCCAGCCTGGCCCCAGGGGCAGCTGTATTGCTGGCTGTTCTACTCTCCCACACCTTCTCTACAGATTACCCCTCCCCAAAACACGCTGGGATTGGGAGGGAGAGAGACCTTCTGCCCTTACATCCACCTGTCACAAACAACCAATGTGGTCGTTCCCTCATCTCTGTCCCCCTCGTGAACTGGAATAAAAAGATCTATACCTTGTGGGGACTTTGTGAGAATGAAAGGAAGCAATTTCTATGAAGAGCCAAGCACAGGACCTCACACAGCAATTTCTCAATATGGTTACTTTTCTTCCCTTTTACAAGTACAGAACTGAAGACTTATGGTTTGAAGTCCTGCTAATGCCTCTCACTGTCTGTATGGCCTGGCTACCCAGGGACATATTATATATAGTTCTAGGGAGCACAGAACCCAGGCTGGCTAAGTTCTGAGGGCCCAAGTGCATGGTTGGGCACCTTCTGTAATCACTCAAAAGAGTCTCAGTGTGGATGCAAAAGGTCCAGCTAGAAAGGAGGCTGGGGCTGCTCAGGTTATCTTCCTAGGAGCAGTCACCTGTCCTTGCAGGTTGGCAAGAAGGAACCCAACTGCCTTTCACTGTCAGGCCTATCCAATCAGGGTGGCTGGGAAAGGCCCTTCTTGTTTTGAATGGATCACTCTTAAAATATCCAAGAGTAGCAGTCAAGCAGTAGTAAGGTCTGAATCTCCTCTCCAGGTGGTTGTTACACACAATTCCAGCAATGGGGAGCTCAGCAAGGCCATCTCTATGTCATTCAGGCATCCCATTTTCTAAGACTGCACAAGGTAATGAACTCCCCAAACTTGCTTCTCTATGCTCATATCACCAAAACCTTCCACCACGTACTTTCCCAGCTGGCCTTCCTAACTCTCCCAATCTCATGACTCTCCCAATCTCATGCTCCTTTCGCTATATGGCTGCTTTCCAAGGTTTCTCTTCTGGTCTGGGAAAGAACCTGCTTTGGCTTGGCCTAACGCAAGGGTTACAACTACCATCTGCTGTTTCCTTGCTGTGAAGCTTACCTTGTCCATGTAGACAAAGAAGAGGATGAGCAAGATCAGTTCTGTGAGGAGGATGATCAACAGGACGATGAAAAACTGGGAAGAAAAGGTCCAGGCATGGGTACAGGGTGGTGGCAATAGCCAGGGACAGTACAAATGAAGGATGCTGGGGGCAGGGTACAGGCAGGATATGGCAGGCCTTTCCAGACCTGAGAAGGACCTTGATTCGTGGGGAAACCCAGAGGGATAGTAGGGCCAGGATGAGGTCAAGTACCCACCATTCTAGGAGTGACTGCCCTGGGCCAGGGCTGGGTCCATGGTGACTAGTGGTCTAGGCTTTTTCCTGCCTCACCACCCCACACATGGAGCAATGCAGTCCCCTGGGGTTGGGATTGTGGTCCAACTCACACTGAGCAGGAGGCACTTGTTTTCTTTGATGGCCCCTAGGCAGCCGAGGAAGCCTGTCACCATAACAATGGTGCCGATGGCGATGACGAGGTTGGCTGCAGAGAGCGAAGGGAAGCTGGGGGAGAAGGTGGCAAAGTTGCCCTGGGACACGGAGAGCCAGATGCCTACTCCAAGCAGTCCACAGCCACAGAGCTAGAGAGAAAGGAGAACTGTTAGACCAGTGCTACTCTCACCTCCAGTACCTGGAACTAGAAGTCTACACATTCATTACCCCAGCCCTTGAACCACAAAGGTGAGAACTGGGTCTCAGACCCAAAGCAGGTGACCATGAAAAATCCTCCATCTCTCTGTGCCTTAGTCTGCCCATCTGATGAACAGAAGTAAAGCCAATTCATGAAACTAATAGGGTCATGGTAAGGAGTCAGAGATAAAAGCACACAGCAAATATGCAGAAGATACAAAACACAGAGGCAGAGGCAGCTACAAAGAAGAGCCTAGTGTTTAGGATGAAGGGGTCAAGGAGTATGGGAAGAGGGAGAAAAAGAGGGAGTGAGTGCAAGCAAGCCAGGACTAGTCTTGGGAGCAGAAGGGAATGTAGAGCTTGCTTTCTTAGAGCCAGAACTTCTAGTGGGTGTATCCCATTGCCCTACCCCAGGAGGCTGAAGAACAAAGCCCATAGGTGGAGGAAGAGGAGCATGAATGGGGCTGGTGGGGTGGGGGGGGGCTGGCTATGGAGCACGATGGGGAGGCTATGTCTGCCCTGGCCAGCTGCCAGCAGGAGGGGCCTGTGGCTGACAGTCCTCCCACCACACCAAGCACTGATGAGGCCAGCTGCTCCACCTGGGGAAGCTCCTCTTTCACTGGCACCAGCCCCACATCTGCCTATTTTATGCTCCGTATGACAAACACTGCCCCACTCCTTCTGCGGGCTCAGAGGAAGTGTGCTGTGTCTGAGAAGCCTATCAGTCAACCATTATTTATTGAGTACCTTCAGCATTCAGCAGCCAGTGCCAGAGCAGCCACAGATACTTTAGAGACCTGCCTTCGAGGGGCCTCTGTTCTGGATGGACAAGGTAATAAAACAGCATTCACCCCACCCCAGCAATACGCTGGCACCAATTAAATGCGGGTGGCTATGACTCCCTGATGTGAACACAGGCCCTGCTCTCCAGCTGCTCTTCTCAAGGAGGACACACAGATGTGCTGGGCTGTGATGAGGCCAACCACAACTGGGCAGAGAGGGGTCTGACATCTGGGAGGATAACCACATCTCCTTTGGGGACACTGTCTGGCACACAGGGAGGCCATGGTGAGCATTCAGCAAAGATTCTGCCTTCATGAAGAGGATCCCAGTGGAACACCAACGTGACAGGAGTGAGCACTGATACAAATTCAGGTGCTAATGTGATGCAAGAAGAATAAGGGCGTGTATGGGTTAGAAAGTCACTAGAGACAGGGTAGTTAGGGAAGATCTCCTGGAAAAGGTAGTGTTAGACAAGGGACAGGGAATTTCACAAATATTGGGGGTGCTCTAGATGGGGTGCAACAGGTACAGAAGCCTAGAGGTAGAAGTATGGCCAGCCAAGTGCCAGTGTCTCTACAACAGAGCAAGTAAGATAACACTTGATGAGGACAGAGAAAACAGGACCTGCAGGTTGGAAAATGCCCAGGTTGTCCCAGGGCAGTACAGTTACAGTCTGACTGGTTTCCCATACATCACTGCAGCTGCAGTCTTAAGAGAAGACCCCTGGACAGAGTGGAGGGGCAGCCAGAGAGTAGTGGGTACCAAGGGAGGTCACAGCACAGTTAGAAAGACCAGTGAGAAAGTTCCAATGCAAGACATGGGTGCTGACAAGGCTTGCTGGGCTTTGAGGAATGAGTACAGTTTTGATTAATGTAGAAACAGAAAGAAGACACCCCCCCCCCGCCCAGACTATACAAGAGAAAAGAAACGGCGGGAGTTATTTTCACAAAGCAAGAAACCAGAAGTGGTTCAAGCAGCTAGGGGAAATCAGGTAAATCAGGCATCTGCCAACTCCCCATGCTGCAGAGTGGTCATGCACCTCCTCTGCTCTAGAGCAGCCTCTGGTGGGACTAGGTCAAAGGCACCCAAAGAACAGCACCTACAAACTTAGGGCATGCACTCAGATGACTCACAAAGCAATCCACAGGGAGCAGGTGCCACCAACGTCTGCTACCACTAGGTGGCCCCCCAGCCCAGTTCTAAAAGCTCTCTGGATTCACTCCTGACACGCTGAAATTTGCATAAAACTTGTCACTGACTTTCTTCAGATTTGGTCAGTTTCGACGCTGCTATCTCAGTATTTCTTTCATTAATCATAGCCTGGAAAATACACGCTCTTCATGCTGAAGATTTATAACTCTAAAAGCCAGACCCAGAATGAGAAGTTGGAAATCCCACTGCAGCAGGTGCTCAAACAACTACAGAAAAGAGCCTTGAGCTGCAGGATGACCTGCACCCTGCCATGGGTCTAGACTCACCCAGAGCACAGCCTGCTGCAGTAGCTACCACTCCATGGAGACACAGCTCAGCCCCTCTCAGGCTAGCCACCATACCACTGTACCCCCTCTGATTAGGTCCATCCACGAGTTTCCTGACACTCCTAGAGCTTCAATCCACCATAAGGACAAGAGCCAGGACCCTGTTCCCACACCTGCTTTCCTTCTTGTTTCCTCTCCTAAGTCCCGCCAGCCCTCAGATGAGAGCCAGGAAAAACCTGCTACCTACAGGTGTGTCAGACCCTGACACAAGTAGCCTGCTCCCAAGCCTGCTCAGTGCTACATTTCTTTCAAAACCTTTGTACTCATTCTCCACCTCCCATGAGGCCCTGCTGCAGCTCCACTGCATCCTTTACAATGTCTGCTCAGTGCCGAGGCCTGCCCAGCATACCCCACTGCCACATCACGTTCCTGGGGTCTCCTGCTGGGAGGAACTCTCTATTCCAGTTTCAGATAACTCAGCAGAGCCTTTAGGCAAAGAAAACACACAGAACAGATGAGGAAACCGGAGTGGTGTCTGACTGACCTATGACTGAAAGATGATAGGCACCAAGACACCTGTCACAACTGGAAGCTGAGGTCCACTCAGGGGACCCACTGCTCTTGCTACCTCTGCCCTTTGTTCTCAGTCCAGCCTGCACACAGCTGCCTAAATCCCTTTCCAAAACACCCCTCTCATCACAAGACGCCCTCCCTCAAGTGACCTAAGATTCAGCAGCTCTCCCAGGACCCATTCCCTTTAAACTACAGGATCTAGGCTGGATCCTTGCTCTAATCCCTTCCAGCACAGTCCCTGCCATATCTAAGAGGTGTAGTTCTTATACAATGTTCAACAATGAGTGGTTTTCAATCAGAGGCAATTTTGCTCCCCAGAAGGCCACAGAATATCTGTAGACATCTCTGTCAGAGTTGAGGAGGGAGTGACCCTCCTTGTGGGGGAGCAGGGATGCTGCTAGTCCAAATGAATCCTGCAATAAGAACAGTTTGGCCCCAAATGTCAATAGAGGTTGAGAAACCCTGCCCTGGGCCCATCCTCAGGGCAGGGACCACAGCCCCTGGAGGAGGGCCAGGAATGATCCCTAACGTGGCTGAAGAGAATGCTGGCTCTGGAAGGGATTGCATCCAAGAGAGCAGTGCTCAGAGGCCTCCAGTGCAGCAGGGCAGGCTGGGCAGGAGTGACTAAGAGCTCGGGGCTGGCAGGTGGCAGTGAGCAGGAGGAAGGAAAAGGAACTGGCAGTAGAAACAGATTTACTGCATGCAGAGTTGGAGAAAAAGACCTCCTCTGGACACATAGGAGAGCAAGAGGACAGGAAGCTGGCCTGAGCAGGGGGCAGGAGGAGGGTGAGGCAGGGGTAATGAGGGAGAGGGATGCAAGGCCTGAGGGCAGTAGCACTGCCAGGGCTCAGGACAGAGAGCTCAGCTAGTGGCATTTGGGAAATTTCCCTTCCAAAACCAGAGGGCTGTCTCATCAGAGATGACCAAGCTACCATCAAGCTCAAAGCTAAAGAATCTGGGGCAAGGCAGGATGACTCAGGGCATCAGGACACAGCCAGCCAGAGGTGATACCCACCCTAGCGTGGCCAAGGTCTGGCTGGTAGATTTCTCTAAGCAGGGACAGGCTGAAGCTTCCTTGCCCCTTGTCTGCTCCCCAGCTAAGCCATTTCAAAATAGCTTCATCTCAGGGCTCCAAACAGAGCTGCATCCAATCATAGACAAGATTCCTACATATGCAAAACAGCCTCCAGAAATCCCAGACTCTAGATGCTGTTTGAGAGCTACCTGCGGCCTGCAGGACGGAGAAGATACAAGTCCCTCAGTACACACAGGAACCTTCATGCCTACAGGCTACACAGGGTCCTCCTCATGCACTGGGCCACTCCATACATGCACAGCAAGTAAAATGAGGCTCAAAGAGGCCTCCACCTATCTCAGGCCAGCTCTCCATACTCCCTTATTGACTAAGTCAGTAATGATCTGCCTGACATTCCATGGCATTGCTCCTCATCTTCAGTGTGAACCATGCTGACTGCAGTTTTGCTGTATGCCATGTGCCATGCTTGTCTGCACAGGCAACATTCTTTGAGGGCTGGGTCCACAGACCCCTTAATCAACGTCTTCTCCAAGCTTCTGCCTCTTTCCACATGAATGACCTGGACCAGGGTGGGTCCAAAGGGGCACATCAGGGGCCCCAAGCTTCTGTGTATACTTGCTGCCCACCCTCATGAAAAGACATACTCTACCAGGGACAGGCTCACAACTTATCTATGCTTCTTTCACCATAGTGCCCAAAATAAGCCTGGAATACTGAATATTTACTGGATGGATGGATGGATGGATGGATGGATGGATGGATGGATGGATACATGAACAAGCAAGGAAACCAGACTCAGACACTGATACCTACTTGGAAAAGCAGCCTCCACGCAGCCCACCCTCTCCAAAACCTTGTCACCCACCCAAGTTCCTCTTGACCTGGTATGACCCACTGTCATCAGACACACAATGCCCTCTGACCACATTAACCTCATGCCATCTGCAGCAGCAGAGCTCACCAGACTCTGGGGTCAGAGGTCACAATGTCCTTCCACCCTGTAGCCTGTTGGTGCTTACAGAAGATTTTTAAACACTAGGTCTCAGCAGTCCCCAGCACATTCTATGAGCCAAAGTGAGGT